CTTGGTGAATGTTTTTTATTAACTGAGCTGCTGCACTAAATGATCTCATTGCTTAAAGTCCGCCACTGAGAGGACTGCTTGGCAGAAATGTAATGATAAATAGACCTCCCGTTGTCTATTAAGTGTGAATCTGTGTGGTCGGAGCCGGGTCCTCCTTCTACGGACGGCCTCCAATGTTCTACAGTAGACAGAACGGACAACCGAAACAGCTGGCTGAAGATACGCGGCCCTTTCTCGTTTCTCCTACCAGGCTTGGAGGCTGAGCCTGTATTCAGTTGGTGGCAATAATGCAGACCCTAGCAGCAGCGTCGGTCCTTTAAGCAGTGCCTTTGAGGCCAGTGGACGCGGCCATGTGTGCTAAAACTCACCTTTGTGTGCCGGAGGTGTGTGGGAGTAATCAGGCCAAGTGAGAGCCGAGGCCAACGAGGGGAGAAACCAGAATGCACAAGTCACCAAGCAATGGCGCGCCTTAAAGCGGGGGCGGCTGCATCCCGTCTCCCTGTTCCTCCACTGTGATCACTGTGTCGCTCCACTGTGATCCTCCACCTGCTGGTCCTCCACTGTGATACCTCCACCTGTGATGCGCCCCAGCTGTGATCCACCCACTGTGATCCCCCTCCCCAGCTTGTGGTCCTGTGTGACGATGTTACCAGCCAGGTGAGCGGTTCATCCGGGACAGCACCGCCAGATGGGCAGCTTTCACCTGCTTGAGGGTCATTAAGGCAAAGAGAATCTGGCTCACCCATTTATTTCTGGCTTCACACTGTAACATCCAGGCAGAGTGCAGCCTAATAACGCAAAGCGCAACCGTTCTTATCTTCAGGTGATTACACGACACTAATGAAAACACACACCATGTGTGACATGGAAACCTTTACCAGCACAAACATCCGGAGATTGATTCCAAAATAGGCTGGTTCCAAATGAATAAGTAATAACTCGATTAATACAGTAAACCAGATCACCGCCAATCGAGGTGAACGCGACGGCAGCATTCCAGAACAGGAAGGTTTTTCAGTGTGGCGGTGCCTTGCAGACACATTTTGGTTGATACCAAAAAAAGAGCTGTGGTTGATACGCGCGCGCGCCTCCCCCTGCTGTTTAATAGTACACCTCTGATCAGCCGCGGGGCGAGTGTGTAGTAGAATCAGCAGGCGCAAACAATAGAGTCCTTTAACGCTCTAGGCTGTGTGTGTGTGTGTGTTGTGTGTGGTGTGTGTGTGTGTGTGTGTGTGGGTGAAAAATATTTATCAGATAAAATGAATGTGACAGAATAACATTAAACTCACTGAAGTTAGCGTGTTCTGACCCGTGAGGTGAAGTGACAAAGCAAAGGCCGTTTCATCAGACCGTTTCTCATTAAACACACTCATCTTTAGCAAGAAGTGTGACACAGTCACTGCTATTAACAAACAATACATTTCTATTTTCATTGTGAATTAGACAATGACAGGCTGTCCACCCAGTATTCTATTGTGGGCCAGATTTGGTCAGCGGACCTTAAGTTGATTATCAGTATCAGTTTAGTCTATGACATGACAAAAAGAAGTAGAAAACGCCCACCCCAAGTTTAGATCTTCAGATGTAGTTTATCCATCCAACAACCCCAAACCAACACAATTTAAAGTCTTTAACATCCACAGTACACTCAGTCTGAACACACACACACACATATACATATATATAGGTATAATATAAACTACGTAACCCCTCACAGGCTCTATGGGAATATATCAGGAGATTCATAGGATATTTAAAATGTATTAAAGTACTGAGAACCACAGACACACGATAAAGACAATATTATAGCAATATAATATAAGATAATATAAGATAAGATAATATAATACTGTCTAAAAGAGACAAGCTAAGAACATCCCATTACACTCCACTTCCCTCCATATTAATCACAGCGGTCTATATCGTTTAAAGGTGTAATTACACAGCTGTTGGCTTCCATATGAGCACATCCATTACATGTGCATACAGAACAACACCCACTGTGCTCAATGAGCCCATTTAAACAGCCAGCAGAGCACAAACTGTTGTCACAGGCCTGAAAACATCGACCGATTTCCTCTCCCGCCTCCATTAGCCGTCTGTTCGACACCTCACACTTTAAGGTTCACATTTTTTGGGAGGATTTCTGGCTGCGAACAACACAGTCTGCCGGTGAGGCGACACACGGGCGGTAAAAGCGGCGGATTGTGGGTTTACTTACACAGTTCGGCTCAGTCCGGGTCCAGTGTGGCAGCTGTCAGGCACCAGCGGCAAGTTACACGCAACACAGTCACACCGCTTCCGGTTTCAGCTCTAAAAATAAAAGCGTTGGACGACAACGGCGTTACTTCCATGTGGACTTCAAAGTAAAATACCTTTATCGCCCAAGGGCTGTGAATACGTCAACAACATGTCTAGATTTGTTTTAAAGGGAGAATGATACTACTCACACCAGCAGCTTAGTCAAGTCAAGTCAAGTGAGTTTATTTATATAGCACATTTAAAACTACAGGAGTTGAGCCAGATGTGTTATAATCCGCCTCAGGTAAGTAAAGTTGGTTGGTTGGTTGGACTGGCTCTGTCAAATGGTAAGAAATAGTGTGGCACATAATTATCTGTATAACCCCAAATGTCAGTTTTATCTTCATATTTATCTCATAGACTGAATTAGATGTGGTGGTGGTGTCTTCTTTTTCTGCCCAGAGGCCATTTGTGGTGTTACAGTGAAAAATACCCCTTTGGCTCCAAATGTATTTTTCCCATAGGCCACCACTGAGCTACAAAAAAGGTCAGTTATGACTCTTTCTATGATACATTTTTGATCAATTAACGATTTATATAAAGCCTTCCTCGAGCCAGGGATAAGTGAGAGAAAACTGCTGTGCATATTCAGTGGATGCACAGCCAGGAAGTAAATCCTGGAGTTGGCGTACATGCACCAGGTGAGCAGTTCTCACTGGGCTGAATAGGCGCCATCTTGGTGTCTGGTATCTATTATATTATATCTAGGATTTAGCTCATGGGTAGATATGATAGTGGCATCGATCTTGTCATCTAACTCTCTGCCAGAAAGCAAATAAATGTATTTCCAAGAGCCAAAACATTTAGCTTTCAGGATATGTGAATCATATAAAAGGAAATTATTTAGGAATTATGCAAGAATCTGCAGTTGCTAACTTGTTTGGCGTGTGACCACTTAAAATAATCAATGTACTTCTGACCTATCATCATCATCAGTTACATACTGTTTGGCCGTATGTTATGATCCAGTGGATTTTTCTATATACTTGTAATTCATTATTTATTTCATGATATATTTATGCTTTTATTTTGAAGGCAGAATTCAATGTCCTGTCCTGACAATCTTACTGCTGAAAACTTGACGCAGATTTTCGACCAATCCAAGGCCAGAGTTCAACTTTTTTTTTTCCCTCACTCTCTTGTCTTTGCAAAGGATGATGGTAAATGCAGTCAGAACAAAAACAGAGCGCTCTAACAATTCTTCCTTCCACTAGAAAGTCAGCAGGCAGAGGTCAGTTAAAGTACAGCGAGTCGGGATTCTGTGCCTTACTTAACTGGTGGGATGTTCACAATATTGATGATTCTTCTGTTACTATAAATCTGCATATGGTGACACACATTTTTTTATTGTAAGAAACACACACACACACAACACTAACACACACCTCACTGATTGAACCTGAAAACTCAAAGAAGGACAGCATGCTGGAAAAGGCATTTCATACCACAACTAGGGGTACTGTCCAGCAGGCTTTTGTGTGTGCTGTGTGTGTGTGGCGTGTGTGCGTGTGTGTTGTTGTTTCTGACTGGGTGAGCCTGAATTAATTTCAGTGTGTGGATAGTGGCTGTGTTCACACTTATTAGGTATCTTTTTCCTTCCTTCATTCATCAGCATGAATAGGAAAGTCTTATGTTATCAGTCATATCTTTCATTTCACATTTTGGTGTAATGTGTTACAAACCCTGTTAAATACAAAGTGATGAAAGTTGTTTTCATCGAGGAGAAAGATTTCTCACTACTCTGCAAAATGAAAAAGATGTTTAACTCTCTTCTCAAGTTCATGAATGTAAAATAAAATGTACAGCTTGTTGTCCTCAAATCTGGCATTTACACCACGGTCCTGTCTCCAATCAGACAAAAGGCTGTGTCGATTACACAAGCCTGAAGTTTTCACATTAATGTCATTTATCAGCCTTATTATTCCTTGTTAGGCTTCATATTCAAACTCATACATGCACACACAAATAAAAAGCCAATCTTTAACTCCAGCACACACCCATACACACACCTTATTGTCTGCCTGCAAGTCTTATCACGTAATGTTTGCCTTACATGTGTCCTGTAACAGTAATTAAGAAATAAAGAAGTCAAAGGTCACTTACCGAGAAATTAATAGGACAACGAGAAGGCAGGGTGAGGGGAACGGAGGTGAAAAGAGGCAATCAAACAGAAATTACGAGAGGGAGACTAGAAAAAGAGGGAAAGCAGAAAACAAGGGGAGAATATGAAAGACTTAAATAATGTGTAAGTTCTGACATCTAGTGGTGACAGACAAAAATCACAGTACAGTAAATCCTGAAACTGTTTTTCTCCAGATGCACTTGTGTTCTAAAGAAATGCAATGATCAAAATGTCTCCAGAGACACTCCCATGTAAAGGGACGAGCCAGGTCGGTGACATGGTGTTTATAAAAAAGAACAATGGAAGCAAAGAGTGGGAAATGTAGGAATGTGTATGGAGGGAGAACAGCTGTCCAGCAGACTGTGTGGAGGTTCAGGAGAGATTCCAGAATATCAAAGGTCTCTCTGTCGTAATGAAAGTGAGAGTTTTTTTCTGTGAGGCACTTTTTTTGTCTGACAAGGTGTGACAATTATGTGTCCCATAATAATGCACTGTACATCGTGGACTCTTTTGTCCCTCATGATTAATGGCAAATGCCAATGTTCAATGTTAATGCAGAAACTGCCCTATAGTGCCCTATATGTGGTGGCATGGAAGGATGGTTTAGTGAGCTTAATTTTCATTCAGGAGACTGAAGTTCACTTCCTGTTATAAACCTGTAATTAATGTTCACATTTTTAATTACCTGTATACGCAATCTACAATCTTCAGTGCCGTTCTCTGCTCTTCTTTGGATGAATAAATACTCTCCAGTTCTGATATAACAGATGCTAGCAGCATCTACGCTAACCTCTTTAGCCCTTGTAGACACCAACGGATTGATGGATTCAGGCTTGAAATGTAATGTGTCCAAAGTAACCAAGCTCATAATTGCATGATTAACCACCATCAGTGGCGGTTCTATCTTGAATGACACCCCCCCACTTTTTAAGTGCTTGTGCCGTCCCCAATCGATAAAGGCAGAAATATTACTTTAAACACTCAAATTGCTGTTGCTGCTACTGCTCGTGTCCCTCGTCTATTTGTTCTTGCACTCCTAGATGCAAATAAACAAGGTGTCACTACAGCCAGTGATAGTCACAAGGTTGTATGTATGCAGATGATGTTATTTTGTTCCTCACCCAGCTATAACAATCGAGGGAGTCTTACTATGGAGACCTCCAAGTCCTGAAAGATCATAATTCTATGCGTACAAGATGTAAAACTTCAGATCCATCCAGAGATTCATATCTTGTGAGCATAAAATAAAGAAAAATATTATCTTTTGGTTCTTTAGGGGCTCCGTAGTATACAAACAAATCAAAGCCCCCACCCCTTCTCCTCTCATCATCATCTCCAAAAGAGTGAGTTGATTGGGGTGGTAAGTCATTTGGCTTCCGTCCTCTCTGTCTTTGCCAGAGTTGATCCTACAGCTGCTATCTGCCGAATGTCAAAGGCCTAATTGTTTTTTAAGACGGCACTGCCAGCACTGATGCCAGCCCCTGTGCCAGTCTATTCTTCAAAACTGTATGATGCCTCAACACTCCAGGTGCCACCTCTAAACTCTGCCAGGTTCTCAACAACCAGTTCAGGGAGCTTTTGCATCCTTGTGAAACACTCAGATCTGTTCTTCATTGTGATAATATTGAACCCCTCATGGTACAGTAACTTCAGTCTATTGGCTGGCTGGATGGCCGATGTTGGCACAGGGGCCACAGCATGCCACGCAGGGATTTCAGCCAGGCTTAGAGCTCCGCAGTAACAGCTTTTTGAGGTTTGAAGAAGCAAGGCTTGGTGCCAAGATGACCTGACTGCCCTGAAGAAACAGACAGCCATAGCAGGGTGCATGTCAACAAGCACTCGGATCATTTCAGGTCCTGTGGCAAATGGCAAAGACCAGCCATTCAGCTCTGGTGTCCCCATCTCTCCCCGAAAACAAGGAGACGCATTTTTTTATTCAAAAACAGTGCAAAGCCTGTTTTGTTTTGATTGTGTTACAAATCTTTCAGAGGACACAGAGATTGTAATAGAGGCCAATTTGAGGATCAATACAATTACTTAATGCTTAACAGAGCTGGCTGAAAATGTGCTGTGGTTGTAGATCCATTCAGTAACAACATTCAGCGCAGCAGGTGGTCCAGTTACTTGACTTGAGTTGACTCAGGTTAACTGCAAGTTTTTTGTTCAACTTGAAATATTTTCAATTCATACAAATCTTAGCATCGTAGCTTTAGGTTGGAACTATTTAGAGCATTTTCGTCCATTAACGTTACATTTGTTTGAATGCCTATCAATTGCAATGAAATTGCAGTTATTATTTCCAGTAAAATGAAGGATGTGCAGCAGGTATAATTCTATGATCATGTTTTTTATCAACATCATCATCATTACCTTGCGAGTCACAAATTGTTGATACTGAAAGCATCAGTAAAATGTTTGGTGATCTTTAATTTGTTTGCCACAACATCCAATCTTGGAATACAATATCACCAGCTTGTATCCATTGCATGATTAAACTCTGGACTCGATAAGAGACTGTGGTCTTGGTTAAAGTCCCCCTCCACTCAAAAATATGTTTTTATACCTCAACACCGGCGATAGCTGTGACACCCCAGGTTCGCAGAGTTCTTGTGACAGCTGCTTCCTGTCTCTCATTCTGTTTTATTCTCTATAAGAATTCATTTTTACATAGTAATCAAGTTCATGTTCCTTGGAATTCTACATATGTATCATCAATATAGTGATAACTTCAATTTCGCCAAAAAATACAGTTTATAGCTTTTTATTTTTTATTTTTTTAATTCAAAGTCTTCACTACATAAATCATATGAGACTGAACAGACATGGATGTAAACTGCAACTTGATGGGTTGGTGAAGGCTTTACAACTGCAGGGCGGTAATTCTAGTTCTTCTTGTTCCTACAGTTGTATGTTTGAGCTTCACTGTGGCAGAAAGACATATGAGCACAGTTTGTCCCTAGAAGGATGTTTTCACATTCATCTGCTGAAAGTTTCTCTGTGATCACTGAAATCTGGTTTTAAGGAGCGGGAACCTACAAGCATGATTTGGAGGGTCAACCTGGTCCAGTATGCAACCTTACACAAGTGTGATATAGAAACACCAGTGCAAAGACTTGAAGCAGAAAACATCTTGTGTCCAAGAAAACTTCAGAAATTAAAATAATTAGCATATTCATTCATTCTGTAATTTTAATGAAAGGGGTACATGACTTTTTAAGGATTTTAATATGGAAACTATACTTTTGTTAGCAGAAAACAAACATATCAGACACACATTATGGTTCCAAGCAGACTATTAGTACATATGTCTTAATATGTGTCTGGAGGGGATATTTAAATATTGAAAGAATCAACAATAACTTGAGACATGGCACAACCTTGTTTACATTATAAACATTCAACCCAAACCACAAGCTTTCCCTAACCTTAACTAAAGTGCTTTTGTTGCCTAAACTTCACCAATATCAGGACTCACGACTTTGTTTCCCTCAAAACATAACTGGCAAAAGAAGTAATATATGTGTTAGACAGTAGTACTACAATTCCCAGTGAGCGATGAGAGAAGTGATTTGATCTTTCAGAGCTCCACCTATTTTGTGACTCATGTAAGACAAACCAGGAAACACAGCTTGTTAAGCTTCCTTACAGACAATGAACACAGAAACAAGATTCACCTTCACAATAACACCAGATTTCCACTGACAAAGCAGAGCTACAGGAAGGAATGCTGGGAATACTGGAAAATCTGGAATACTGTCACTTACACCAGCAGCTGACGCCACAAACGGAAAAAGAGTTTTAGAAAAGAAAATCCCGGCTTAAATTGAAAGTAACTTTGAGGGATCTTTCTGGGGGAAAGAGAGGCGCCATCACGTGTCTACCTGCTGTGGTTTCAGCTTCACTCAGAGGAAAATGGCTTCTGGGTCAGAGGAGGACTTCTGCTGTCCTGCCTGCCATGATATCTTTAAAGACCCTGTCCTCCTGTCATGTAGCCACAGCTTCTGTAAAGCCTGTCTGCAGAGCTGGTGGAACGGGAAACAACTCAACGAGTGTCCACTCTGTCGGACTGTGTCTCAGTGGAGTGATCCACCTCGTAACTTGGCATTAAAGAACCTGTGTGAGGCCTT